GTTGCGACATCATTGTATGCACAAGTTGCAAGTGAACTACCTGCGGGAGACAGCGCAATACTCCCTGTGTGAGGCAAAGATAGCGCACCCCTGGTCAATCCCAGGACGGCCCCAACGAGACCAGCAGGAGGTTCAGCATGGACTTGAAATTTGGGGCACTTCATCCATGGCGTTGCCACCAATGGAGTCGAAAAGGCTGTCGTCATGTGCTGCCCATCATCCAACCTAAAGGGCTAGCACGCCCGATGTTCTGTGGTAGTGCGTCTTCTCTCCTCCCTGGGTAGCACGAAGCAGATATGCAGCGCGCGAGCTCCCCGTGGGAATGGTCCCCGGCCTCCCCGTGCGCTGTGCGCTGTTTTCTCTTACGCATTCACGAGGCGACCTTGTGCTGGCCAGCGCTGCGTGCCTCTGCACTCGGAGCGTTCGCATACAGTAGCACAATATGAAGAGTCCCCGAAGCCACTCCGAGCAGATGGCCAACGACCCGACTTTCCCGTACCGTGATATGGGCCTTGTCGCCACCGGATGTAAACGCCATGTTCGTCTCTATTACGTGACCCATTTGCTCTCGATCTCTTCCATGGCTGTGTCGTAGTATGCCCCAAATCCGCATGCTCCTCCTCCCAGTCCTCCTTTGGCTCTCCGTCCTGGGATATTCCGGGCTTCGGCAGCAGTTCGCGTGTCTCGTGCATGGCATTGTTCGATCGTGCGCGTCCCCTCTCCACCAAGACATCGCCCGAACTCCATGTCCTTTTCTTTTCCCTCGCCCTCCATACGACACACGACAGACTCGACCACAGCAGGTACCATCGTGGCTCCCCCGTGGGACTCTACACCGGACTCTGCGAGTAGAAAAGGATGGTCGTAGTGCGAAGGGTTGGGCGGGAGGACTAGGATGTCACCCGTGCTGCTCTTCCTCCTGCTTCTCCTCCTCCTCCTGCTCCTCCTCCTCCTCCTCTTGTCCCTCCTCTTCGTATAGACTCATCCGTTCTACAAGTACCCAGTATGAAAACTGTTGTCCTCCTGCGTCGGACGAGGTGCCAGCATGATCCCGGCTCCCTCGCAGAGCGATGCTCTGATCCATGATGGCAAGCGTCGATATGTGACATGGCGTCTTTCGGTCGAACCCCATTCAGTTCGTCAGGAGGAGGAGGAGGAGGAGGAGGAGGAGGTGGATGAGGAGGAGGAGGAGGCGCTGGCCACAGTTCAGGTTCGGCGCCGCGCGCCTGCCGCTCCGGCTGGCGATCCCGCCCCGGCGAAGGCCACCTTTCTGAGTCCGATTCGTTCCTCGGCGTGGCCGCCACCATCTTGGCCCCTCATCCGCCGTCCATTGACTCTCCTGCTCCTCACATTCCTCCTCCTCGTTCTCCTCCCTCTCCTCCGCTGCCTCCTCATGCTCCTCCGTGCTGATCCTCCTCCTCCTCCTCCTCCTCCTCCTCCTCCTCCTCCTCCTCATCATCATCATCATCATCATCATCATCCGCCTCTTGCCCCCCGTCATTATATGGACACAAGCCCCCTTCCCGATCACGCGGCAACTTCTGGGCCAAGTCTTGAAACTACCAGTCGGGCATTGAGGTCCTCTAGGAAACCCCAGTCGGCGGATAGAAAACGTTCAACGCAAAGGAAACGGATGGGTGTCAGATGTGACTCAAGGGTACCTAATATTGGCATTGTCCCATCTCCCCTTCAACCCCTCACCAGTTCCTCCTCAGCTTCTGGACCCCATCCTCAAAAGACCAAACATATCCTGACATCCCGGCCTTGCTCCCCCACCTTCTCATCCACTACATAGTTGATTATCGGCCAGCGCAGACTACAAGTAGATCGGAAGATTGAAATGAAGCGGGCTGCAGGGGATTGAAGTAGATTGGATTTGAGTAGACTGGAATGGATTGGGGTGGACTCTACTCCACGACTCAACTCTATTACATTCGACCCGACGGTATCATGCCATCTACCCGATTCTACGTTGGTCGGTTATACCCTACTCACACGACCCCAGCAAATTCTTAGTATACCCGACTCTACTCATACTAGACTCGAATCGTATTATATCCTACCCTCGACTACCCTACTCTACTCTGCTGTACTCGTATCTAGTCTGCCCGACTCTGCTCTGCCGTCTACCCTACTCGACTATAACAGCATCTAATCGATTCGACCCTACGTTGCTCGAATTTAGTTTCTATCATACGGTGCGTCGGTTCATACTAGTATTATACTCGAGTCCCGCTCTACTCTCCTCCACCCTACTCTGTCTTAATATTTCCTACGTTGTTCCTACTCCGCTCTACTCCTAGTCTACTCGACTCTGCTCTGGTCTCCTCGTTTATGCTCGACCCTACTCGTCTACCCGTCTCTATTCTATTATAGTATACTCTACTTCGGAGTTTGGCGATGAATGGACGACTGTTGTGACGCCGTTGGAATAGTCACAGGAAGCCATTGCAGTAGCAGAGAAATCCATTGCAATAGCAGAGGAAGCCAGTGCAATAACAGAGGAAGCCAGTGCAACAGCAGGGGAAGACACTGCCATGGTTTAACGCAAAATAGAGGAGGGGGTTTCAGTGGACCAGTTCTCCACGCATAGAGCTAGGACTCCTACAGGGAGGCTTCTTTGGAGAATAGCTCCTCCCCTTCGCACCACCAAACCTGTCGGTTGGGCGGGCGGGGCGTTTCGTTCGAATTGTCCTCACCGATTGCGACCTTGAAGTTTTAAGTTTCTTACCGCTACAAGGGTGAAAGGCGGATGGCTTTCACACTAGAATGTGGTGATCGTTTTTCGCCGCGCACATTCGTTTTTTTACGTGCCCTACAGCAACACAGATGGAGGGACAATGGTTTCCAAAATATGACGATTGTTTCAAGGGAGAGCGCGCTAGCATGAGACCCAAAATTGCAAAACGGGAACCCCAGCTGAAGCTACCCCCCGCCCCCTCCCGTGTCGAAGGCGGAGAGTCCGAAGCTTCCTCCCCCACCCCGCCCGTTTTATCACTCCGCCCCTCCCATGAGGGTTGGCCCAGCCCGTCCAGCAGCGTCCGTCCGCTCGCCTCCACGGCCCAGCCGTTTGATTTTTCGAGGGTCCGCCCGACCAGCCCGCCCGACGCACCCGTTCGGGTTTGCTCGCTCGTCTGTTCGACAGTCCCCTCGCACGTTTGCATGTCCCATAGGGGCTGGATTCCGTCGCACGACCAATGTTTAAGGTGTACGATAAGGGTCGTTGGCTTAGGGCTTACAGCTAGGGCAACGGGGGGAAGGAGGGCTACTGGGCCAGAAAAGCGAGAGCTGGAAAAAGGGGGGGAGGGCGAGAGGGCGTTTTGGAACAGGAAAGTCCAAAACAGTCGAAACGGGGGAATGTCGGAGAGCGCACCCCTTGGGCAAGGGATCGAAGAGTGGGTAGCTTCAGCCCCCAGCAGATCTGAAAGGGGGGGGGAAGAGGGACCTCGGACCGGGGACATCCAAGGGGGTTAGCCTCTGGGGGTCGGAAGGGAGAGGGGAGGAGGGGGGAGTTGTTCGGCAAGGGCCGGAGGGGGCTGAAAGCCCCCGTTGGCCAGATGGGAGGTAGGTGTCGAAACAGGGGCGCCCAAACCCAGGGGACACCCAGGGGGTACCCCCGTTTGGCCAGGTCCCTAGGGCGCGTTCTGTCCCGTAGCACCACGCACATTCTGTTTTGAAAGTTCAAACCGTAACATGAGTATGGGTGAATGATGTTCAAAATGCGGGTGTCGCCTCTTCGTTGCGCACATTCGTTTTAAAAAAAACGCAGCAAAGATTCGGATGCATGATGGATGGCGGCTCTGCTGAGGCATGGAAATATCACTTCAGGCCTCCTGCACTGGTATGCCCATCATCGAAAACGTGCGCCAGGGCTACGCGGCTGGAGGGCGGGCGTGTGTTGAGGCATCTTGAGAACTCCCGAGCGTGAATGCGCAGCGTCAGCGCTGCAACATACAGTCGGGGCCCTGAAGAAGGAACCCTTTTCGTTGGGGAGGGGCTCCGTGTTCCCTGATTGCTTCACAGCCTGCGTCAGGTTTCCCTTATGTTTTCGATTGGAAATCGAAGTTTAACTCATGGAGAAAAGGGGCCTAGTTCCTTATTGGGGGTTCCTTAGGTCAACGCCCCGACTGTACTCGCGCACGTGGGTCTGTGAAGTGTTCAAGCGGGGCTCTCGCGGGACACCTCTTTGAGACGCGTGCTCCTGTTTTTTTTCGACATCTGTGACACAGCTCGAAGGATGAGGAGGAGGACGAGGAGGAGGAGGACGAGGAGGACCAGGAGGAGGAGGGAGGAGGGAGGAGGAGGAGGAGGAAGAGGAGGAGGAGGAGGGAGGAGGAGGAGGACGAGGAGGAGGAGGGAGGAGGAGGAGGAGGAGGAAGAGGAGGAGGACGAGGAGGAGGAGGGAGGAGGAGGAGGGAGGAGCAGGAGGAGGAGGAGGAGGAGGAGGAGGAGGAGGGAGGAGGGCGAGGGCGCTTCTTTTCTCTTTCTCGAGCGGGGACCTCGCCCGCACGGCAGGCCCAGAGGGCGCTCCTCTTTCGAGGGGGGGGGCGCGACCCACAGCGAGGAGGGGGAGGGCAGACGAGGAGGGACAGTCAACCCGGAGAGCAGTCATCGGCGGCGAGCAACGGGGGGGGGAGTGAAAAAGGGCGGGTCTTCTCAGAAGGCTCGGCTCCGGCGCCCCCTACCCCGAACAGGGAGCGCGGAGCACGGTCTCCGTGCGTTCCCTGTTCGCGCATAGAGCTCGCCACGGGGGCATGGCCCTGGACCGTTGGCGCTGCTCTTCTTCGGCCCCCTGCTCGTCCCCTTAGCAGGTGGGCGTCTGTTCCTCTCTGTGAGGTCTTTGGGGCGCGTGGAGCTTTTTATATTTAAAACAAAACAAAAAAAAAAAAAAAAAAAAAAAAAAAAAAAAGGGACGGGAGGGGGTGCTGCAGCATGGTTGATGCATCCTGGCCTCCGCCCGAGCCGCTGCCGCCCCCTCCGCCCCCCTCAGCCCGCGCGAGGACGAACGAGCACGCAGTCTACGCCCGGTGGCCGGGCGTCGCGTGCGTGCGAGCAGCCCCCACCAGGGTCCCCCTCGTTTTTCTCCATGTTCTTCGATGCTCCTCCTCCTCGCTCGCCCCTCCTCCCAACTCCCTCCCCATCATCTACCTTCCTCCTCCTTCGGCCTTACGTAGCCAGGTTGGCTCAAGATGCTTTATTGCATTGCGCAACCGTTGGGTACTTCTGATCCGATGCAGTCAGAGCAGTCTGGCTTGACCAGTGGCTCCACATGTCTGTTCGGCCCTCGCCCTAGGTGCGGGCGCCCACCCTCTTTTCAGTGCCTGCGGGCCCACCCATGCCACCAGGCTCTGACGAAGATGCGTTGTCGGAGAAAAGGATGCCTGAGTGGTCATGCGGGCCGTGCACGCGAGCCCACAAATTGGCGTCGCGAGTCACATGTTTGACTGGCAGACAGGCGCCAGCGCACATCCGTGCCCTTGCGGATACAGCTCACAGAGCGCGCCACGGCCGCCAACAGCAACACACTGGCGGAGCTTGCCTGACGAAGCAGGGAGAGAACAGGTTGGCGGTGCTCGAATCCAAGCTCGAGGCGCTGGTGTCATCCCCCTTCGCAGATTGCGAAGGCCAGTGCTGACAAGGAGAAGCCGCCCAAGCCTACTCATGCGCCGTGGGCTACGGCAAGGGGGAAGGCTGCCGAGGGGTGGCCATGTCTGCGGAACCGAGCTCTGCTGAGGGCAGACGTGCTGCGATGGCTCTGCAAATCCAAGAGCCGGAAGGCGACTCTCAAGGCGGCGCAACAAAGTGTTCAGCGATATCAGATCCAGTATGGAGGCCAAGCTCGTGCAGTTACGTGAGCAGCACAGACAGCAACGACCTCCGACCATTGTTTGTTCATCGACGTGCTACGCAGGGACTTCAGCAAAGCGAAGGCGGCATGCAATACGATGTCATTGGAGTTGGCAGAAAGGACGGGCTAGCACGTCAAACTCAAGCTCTCGATCCAGGAGCGCGGGCACTGTTAGGCCGCGGAGGCGGGGCGAAGATGGGGACATCGGCGACGTTGCGTGTTCTGGCAAAGTCTCCGTCGACAGCGCCACCACAAACGAGTGGAAACAGCCAGAGCTCGCCACGTTCGTTGCAGCCTGTTGTGGAAGGAGCTGCAGAAGCACATCAGAGTGACCGCTCCCAAGTCTGACGTGGCGATGGCTGATATTCCTCGTGTTGGCGCCGCTGGCAGTGCTGTCCCAGCTGACAGCCGCGGCCGCGCCGCCCCCGCCCCAGGTGGCGACGATGATAAAGGGAGGGGCGGAAGGGAGAAGTGGGTTCACGTCCTCAGCAAGCTCGACGAGGTCGAGCCAAAGGCGCCGCTGGAGGCTCGGGCCGGGCGAAAGGGGGGGATTGGGAAAGGGGGGGTTACGAAATTTGCTGCATGCAGCTGGTTTCGGCCTCACCGAGGGGCCCATTCCTCGATACATAGCCGCTTCCGGCGCCGGGAGGCGCCGGGAAAATCAGCTACTTGAGCTGATTATCAAACCCCCCCTTTGCTATCCCCCCCTTTTCGCCCGACCCGAGAGGCCTGCTCCAGCTCCGAAGAGTTCACCACGAGGCTGGAGGCGCCGCGCGCGACCAGGCGCGCAGAGCTGCGCACCAGACGTTTGGGCAGCGTCGGGCGCCGCCGGGCGTGGACCGTCGGGCCTCGGCCGCGCCCTCCTCTTTGCCGGGACCTGCCTCGCGGTTCGACGGGGCGCTGCCCAGAGGAGGAGGAGGAGGAGGAGGAGGAGGAGGAGGAGGAGGAGGAGGAAGAGGGGGAGGAGGAGGAGGAGGAGGAGGAGGAGGAGGAGGAGGAGGCGGAGGGGAGGAGAGGAGGAGGAGGAGGAGGAGGGGAGGAGGGGAGGAGGAGGAGGGGGAGGAGGAGGAAGGGGAGGGGGGAGGAGGGGGAGGGGGAGGAGGGCGATGGTACGTCTGACCCAGGTCAGTTTTGCTCGAAGAGCTTTCTGTTCACAGGCAGCCTGCTTTCGTGGCCAGAGTACCCCACTGAGGATAAGCACTGTCGTCATCAGCAGCGCGCGCAGAGTCTTGCCTTGCACGGTGCTCAAGGTTGTACTAGAGTGGCCCATGGCCACTTTGCGATTGCGGTGGCCAGGGGCACTGCAGCTCAAGCGGGGGCGGCGAATCCGAAGTCTGGCAGCTGCAGGCATCAAGTGGCATGGCAGCTGGTCAACGCCGGGCATGCCGCCCCAGATGGTCTGAAGAAGTTTTGAGCATCCGACAGGGCTCGTGGACACGGGCATTCCCGCGTCATGCCGCCCCAGAAGGAGCGCTCGGAATTTTCTGGGGTAGCGACTCCCCAGGACAGGGCCTCGGTGCGGGGCCGAACAATTCCGCGAGAGAGGTTCGCCGGTTTTTGGTCGAATTCGTGAGTTTAGTGACGCACACGGTGGCGAGTTTCTTGAGCCGCCTTCCAGTGACCTCGAGTTAGCCATTAAGGTTGCCCGCAGAGAGGCACGGCTCGAATAGTTTGGTCGACGTAGGATCGCAAGAATGGGAGGTGCGAGAGGGCCCAACCGGACCGCCAAGGCTCGCAGAGTCGGGAGCCCAATTGTCATTCAGGACCACATGAGGCCCGTCGCAGACCGGCATGCTCGAGCACAGAACGAGTTGAAAGCACACAAGACGCTCAGGAGTGCAAGACCGACCCCACCGCTTTCTTGGATACACGACAGGATCAGCCCCCCACAGGGCAGCTCCAGGCGAGTCGAGGAAGGTCATCCAGAGCTCTCCTGAGATGACGGCGCGCCCTGCATGCACCCTCGGCATTGTTTAGTGTTAGACGACGCAGGCAGCGAGGCGTTGGCAGGATTGTAGCAACGGTGCCGAGCTGTAGAATTAAGTCGGGCCTGTCCCCCTACAGGGGGATTTTCGGCGAGAAATAACAAATACCCCAAAAATAGACCAAAAATAGTCGAAAAATAGTCTTGGGATTATTTTTATATTATGTTTTAATATTTTTGGTGTACTTTGGGGGCACTTTTTATTTTTCGTCGAAAATCCCCATGTAGGGGGACAGGCCCGACTTAGCTGTAGAATTACTTCCTGCTCAGTTGCTCTGGCTGGCCCTGCCAGCGCCCGCCCATCCCCCCCCACGGGGCGAGCGAAGGCTCCTCGTTCTATGCCGCCTCCGGCAAAGGCTGCGCCATCCCCTGCGCGCTGGAGTTCTGGAGGAGGTGGGGCGCGGTTACCGGGGCGCGGCTAGGAGGGGGGGTCGGTGGACTGCGCGCGGGCACAAGCGGCGACATCTCAGGCTGCCACAGCACCTTGCCGCTACGGAATTTCAGCCCTAGCCGGTTGCGTCGAGCATTGCGTCGCTACCCCTCGACCCCCTGAGGGATAATGTTGCGTCCCGACTGCGTTCGTGAAGCTCGTTGTGTATGCATAGAGAGCCCCATCGTGTGCCCAGGGTTCGCCGGCGTCGCCCTGGCGGGGTTGCGCGCACAGAAATCGGGTTTCCAGCAATCGACTGCTGCAATGATTCCACTACCAAACCCCATGCACGGGGCGCCTTCGGCTGGATCGTCCCCAGGCAGCCCATGCCAGGTAGCTCCACGCCGTACATCGACGATTCAGGCGTTCAGACCCCGCGCAGCGATAAAGACCTTGCGATAAAACTGCCCGTCCTTGCTGGCCCCGATTGAAGGCGGCCGTCGGGATCATGAATGGTTCCTTCAACGACAAAATCTCAGTTGCGGCCACAGACCTCGAGCTGGCACGGGCCACCGCCCAAGCGGCTCGAGCCACAGACTCTCGAAGAGTCCAGTCACGCACTTAGGCGCTGACAATTCTGGCGGAGGCATGCGCGCCAAAGCTCGGGCCCGGGCACGCAAAGCAGCTCCCTCGCATTTGGTGAACGAAGTGGCGAGTATAGAAGATTGGCAGGGTCAACGCTAGAGCCTCCCACCAGGAGGCTGAGTAAGGCGTGGACCGAGTCCTTTGCATTGGGGCTGGTCCTGCGCCGTCGCACGGCCATACGCTTCCAGGCCTTTCGGAAGCGAAGTTCGACGCTGCGCGAAGGGCTCAACCTCACAGGAGGCCCCGCGTCCACGGAGGAACTAGCGCCACTGCAAAAAATACAGATTTCGGGAAGTGTGATGTTCGTGCAGCTGTCGGCCCTGCCCTTCAGTGGCGTCGCATGTTTTGGAGTTCCCTGGCCACGTCGAAAATCGACCGCGGCCCGCTCTCACGTACTTTGCGTGCTCGGCGCGTTGGAGGGCCGCATCCTCCTCGCCCTCCTCTGCGGCGGGCCCCAGCGCGTGGTCGAGATGCAACTAGCCAGGCTTCTCGGGCGCACTGCCAGCATCAGGGCCACTTTCGATGTAATAAAAAGTGTTATGCGCACGCGTGGTAAGATTCAGACCCGACAGCAACAATTGGCGTTGCCATCGCGCGCTTTGGACCCAGGTTGAGAAGAGGTTCGCGCATGCGAAGTGGGTTACCGCACTGACGGGCTCTGCCCCATGTCGTGCCCAGCCCGACACGTTGCACCACCGACTCCACACTTGCACCCGCTCCGAAGCGGACCCTGCGAGGCGCGAGTCAGGTGTGGAGGCTACTGCATTAGAGGAGGGGGCACGTATTGGTGCTCCCGCGATCACTCGCGGGTTATTTCTTGTCCACGACGAGAACGCGCCCCCTCTCCACATGAGCACCGATTGCGATATCCCGGACGGCGCAGGAGCCGACCTCAACATCCAACCCCAGGAATTAGCGTCGACGATTGGAGGTTCCATCACCTTCGACAGCGGCCAACGGCAAATTCACCAAGCAGGCCATTTGCTGCTTGCACCGCGCGAGCTGTGCCATAGCGCTGCCGGAGGAAGGCTCGTACTCTTTGCTTGCCATTATCAGGGGACTCGTCCCAGGTGGTCTTCCCCAATCTCCTGATCAGGCCAAGCACGCTGCTGCTGCGTTGCGCTACCAAGTTGTTGATCGGCCAACCCACCTTGCTCTGGATTGCGAGGCTGTGAGTTGCCAGAGCCAGCGGCCAGTGTGGCCAATGTGAAATAGTTAGCAGCTGGAAAGAATGAGTTTGCTGCCGCGCGCCGTTTTGCGCGCGCACTGCGTGGGACCGAGTTTGTTGCCCGGCTTCCATGTGAAAGCTGGCCGAGAGCATGGGGATTTCGACGGCCGCACGGGGAACGATCGAAGGTTTGGGATTGTCAATCGCGCTGTGGATGAGCGCGCGAAGCAGTTCCTCATGGGCCACCCGCGGCCCGACCCTTTGCTCTGCCAGAATATAGAGTCATACCAGCAGCAACCCAATGCCTTCGCGAAGCTCGCATCGGACCTGCCGCCTCACCATAAGAATGAGTGGCGGTGGAAGCGCGCCTCCTTTTCCGCCCAGTCTAGACATCGTCAGAACAGATTCAGGCATATCTAGCGGCGTACTGCGATAAGGATGCCCCGCCGAATGTGTTGGCTACTCTGCGACACTCCAGGTAGGCCGACACATGGGTGCAAGGATGCGCCTCCTGCTCTCAGTATTTGCTGAGCAATCCGAGGGGCCACCTCGTCGGTGTGTCAAGCGTGGCTCTTTCTTCTCCTTCTGGCCCTGTGGCCAGTCTGGACCAGTGTCGTGAGCAGTAGACTCTGTGTTTACAGTGCGGGTTCTGGAGTCAAGGAAGGACGGCGAAGCTGGCGGAGATCTGCCAACCCCCGTCGCGCAAAGGAGCAGACGTGCTCGGCAGGTTCCAGCTTGGTATCGGACCTAGTATGAGTGGGCGTGCGATTATCGACAAGGCACTGGTTGTTGAACAAAGTGTTTCATCCAGCGCGGCTCTGAATGCCCGTCCTGAAAAGTGTGTCACGTCGATTCCCCTAAGTTTCCATGGTTCTTCCTCGGCCCCCGCACACGAGCAGAGAATAGCGGCTTTGGTCGCCAGAGTTCAAGCTGAAGAAGAGGCGATGGCTTCAAAAAGGACCTGATTCGGGTCGGTCCCTGTCTGCTTCTGGTGTTGCCGACTCCAAACATTAACGGTGCCGTCCATACATCCATCCAATTTTCTTGGACCTACCACTCCTTCCTCCTCCCACATCCCTCCAACCTACCACCTCCAGATCCCGGTTCCCTCGCACCTTCCCTTATCTTGTACCTCCGGCCCACGACCCACCTCCCTTCTTCCATCCACCCTCCCTGCTCCTTCTTCATCGCCTATTCTTCTCTATGCGTGTCCTCTCTACGCTACCGCCTGTCAAAATCGCGAATCTCCCACATGTTCCTATCCTCCTCGTTTCCCTCACCCTTTTCATTCCCCTCCCTCTTTCAATATTTCCCTCCCCCTCCCCCCTTCACCGCTCCCGCCACCCACAGCCCCCCCTCTTCTCCAGTCCTGCCTTACCTCCCTCCCTCCCGTCATTCCCGCCCTCCCTCCCTCCCGTGGCCCTACCGAAGACCAGCACATGCCAGGTGGACCTGTCCCGCGCCCCAGGCGTGTTGTACGGCCTCCGGTCCAAGGATTGTCTATGTGATTTTGCAGCGCAGGGGTACGAGGTGATGCGAGACTACGACAGACAGGAGATGTTCACAAAGTCCAGCGGGTTTGACCGACTAGTCTTACATAGCAGCGTTTCCTTCTGATGTCTGCCTCTCTCCTCTCTCCCCCGCGCAGGGGGATTATTGACAGAGTTCTTTTGACAAGTCCCTGATCGAACTCTGGCGAGATTTCGCTCGAACCCCTGACAAGAGCTCGCAGAAGGTACGCGGCAGTCCTCGTTCCGTTTGGCATTGTGTCCAGCATTGATTTCGAAGTCTCCAGTGCGGCACACTTTTCCTTGCAAGATTCCTGGCTCTACGTCGTTCGGTTGTTCTTCAAAGGGCCTCTGCGGTCTCCCCATCTGCAGGCAGTCCTTGTGGAGACGGTGCGTTGGAAAGAGCGACCACGTGGCGCCCACAAGACTAAAACGGGATCCCCAGTTGTAAGTTCCCCCGCCCCTGCCTCCCAGGTCAAAGGCCCCCCCTTTGAATCCAGGTCCCAGGGGTTCCGAAACTATTCCCACCCGCTCCCCCGTTATAGCACCAAAAGTAAAACAGAGCTCCCCTTTCCAGAGGCGGGGCGGGCTTCCGAAGCTTCCCCCTCTCACTCCCCTCCTCTGTTAGGCAAGGCCCTCCCTTCAAGGATGGTGGAGCTACCATCCCTTTGAATATGGGAGTCTGTCGGGGCTCCGCTTTCCGAAGGGGTGGGCTCTGGTCCTCCCCTCCCCCCTTGTCGTTCGACCTGCGCGCGGGAGCTCATGAGGCTGGCAGCCTAGCGATCTGCTGGCCTGAGCCTCCTCGATGTTTTCATCCAGCTGCTTGCGGCAAGTCCCGCCACTCTGGGTGGCGACTGTTCGAGGTGGCACGGCAGGCTGTCACGTGTGACACGTCGTGTCTCCAGGTTTGGGAAAGCCGTGATGAGGATGATTTGGATTATGAGAATGATGGGGGTGATGACGACTGTGTTGATGTTGATTGTGACGATGATGACGATGATGATGGTGGTGATGATGATGGTGATGATGATGATGATGATCATGATGATGATCATCATCATTATGGTGATGATGATGGTGATCGTGATGACGATGATGATGGTGATGGTTATGGTGATGGTGATGACGATGATGATGATGTTGATGATGATGACGATGGTGATGACGATGACAATGGCGATGATGATGATAATGGTGATTATGTTAATGTTGGTGATGATGTTGATGATGATGCTGATGCGGATGGTGGTGGTGGTAATTGTGATGCTGATGGTGATGGTGAGGGTGGTTGTGATGATGATCGTGATGGTGATGATGGAGATGAGAGGATAATGAAGACGACGACGACGATGGCGAATATGGTGATGGCGATGTTGTTGATGATGATGTTGATGATGGTGATGATGGTGATGATGATGATGATGGTGATGATGATGGTGGTGGCGCTGATGATGGTGGTGGTGGTAGGGATGATGGTGGTGAAGATGCTGATAGTGGAGGTGCTGTTGATGATGATAGTGAAGATGGCGATGATGATAATGATGATGGTGGTGGTAATGATGATGGTGCTGCTGATAATGTTGTTGATGATGATAGCGATGGCGATAACAATGGTGGGACTACGGCTGCGATGATGACGACGACGATGATATTATCAACGATGATGATGATAATACTGGTGTTGATGTTCATAGTAGTGTTGATGGTGATGATGACGGTGATAGTGATGTTGGTAATGATGGTGGTGGTGGTTAGAATGATGCTGATGATGGTGATGATGGTGATGATGATGATGATGATGATGATGATGATGATGATGATGATGGTGGTGGTGGTGGTGGTGGTGGTGGTGGTTGTGATGGTGATGGTGATGGTGATGGTGATGGTGATGGTGATGGTGATGGTGATGGTGATGATGGTGGTGGTGACGCTCGTCTGGGCCGTGTTGGGGCGATCTTGGCCTCCTATGAAGCAGTGTTGGGGGGTCCTTGGCCCTCTTGGGTCGCCTTGGGGACCTTTACGCCGGCTTGGGGCTCTCTTGGGCCGGTTTGGTGCCTTCTTGGCCGTATGGCGTCTGGGGGCCGTATTGGCGCCGTCTTGGGCCGCCGAAGGGCCTTCTAAGGCCGACTTGGGTCCCACGGGAGGTCCTCTTGAGCCGTCTTGGGGCCGTCTTGGATGCCTCTTGGGCCATCGTGGAGTCGTCTTGGACCGTCTTGAGCTGACGGCAGCCCGAGAAGGCGACAATGCGAAAGCCACTCGTCGGAAACCCGGGGAAAAACAATGATTTTGGCTTCTTCTGACCCTGTTGGAGGTCCTCTTCTGACTATTTGGGGCCCTCTCAGATGCATCTTGGGCCGTCTTGATCCAATATTCGGCCGCCTTGGGGCCATATATCCATCGTTTTTAATGAAGGATTCGGTGCTTGGGAGGCCCTGGAGCGCTTGGGAGCAGCGCCTGGGAATGCGGGAAGTGCGCGATCCTCGAGCGGGTGCGCGTGAGATGAGGGGCCTAGGGGTCAGCAGCCACGTTGGAAGTGCGCGATCCTCGAGCGGATGCGCGTGAGATGAGGGGCCTAGAGGTTAGCTGCCGTGCGGGGAGTGCACCATCCTCGGGCGGGCACGCGCGGAATGAGGGTTCAGGCATGAGCTGCCGTGCGGGGAAGTGCGCCCTCCTCGGGCGGGCACGCGCGGAAGGAGGGTTCAGGCATGAGCTGCCGTGCGGGGAAGTGCGCCCTCCTCGGGCGGGCACGCGCGGAATGAGGGCTCAGGCATCAGCTGCCGTGCGGGGAAGGAGGAGGAGGAGGAGGAGGAGGAGGAGGAGGAGAAGGTGCACCATCCTCGAGAGGGCGCGAGGGAGGTGGGGCCTCGGAAGGGAGCATGCCACAGGTCCGCGGGCAGAGAGGGGAGGCGGCCCCGCAGGATTCATTCAGAGGCCCCAGACCAGACAGACCCTGGCATTCTTCCACGCCTCAACGTGCCAGGGAGTCAGGGAGGAGGAGGAGGAGGAGGAGGAGGTTGAGAAGGAGGAGGAGGAGGAGGAAGAGGAGGAAGAGGAAGAAAAGGGTTGGGAAAAGCAGGCGAAGGGGGAGTAGGAAGGGAAACAGGGGGAGGAGGACCAGGAGAAGGAGGCAGGGGGTAGGAGCGAGGAGACACAGTCGGACAACGAGAGACAAAGTCGGAGCAACCCCCAACCCCCAGAGTCTGGGGGCGCCCCAGAGTCTGAACAGCATCTTTTTCAGATTCAGTGGCGGATAAGTGTGGTATCCTTCACGTGCATGCAGGTATGCCATTGCTGCGTGACGAGGACATGAGAGCAGTGGGATGTTCGCCCACTCCCTGCGCTGGCATGTGGCTGGCTCAACAAATTTGTAGATGGTTTTGCCTCCCTGCGTTTCTTTGTGGCGAGACGAGCAGCATGGTATTCCCTGCATTGCTTCCTTGTGTGGCGCCTAGAGAACAAGAGTATGATATGCCCCCTTTCCTGGCGCTGCCACGTGACCAATGTAGCGACATTATTGTTTCCCCCATCTTCTCTGTTGCCATGCGAGGTTCTGAACACAAGTATACGTCGTCGTGCCCCTCGTTGCGCTACCGTGAGGAGAGTAGATCAGAGAAGTATGGATTGCTTGCCTCCTTGAATTGCCACGTGGCGAGTATAGCGGTACAGTCGTTTCGCGCACCCCCTTCTTTGAGTTGTTATGAGATGAGTAAACAGACTAGTACAGAGTCGTGCCCCTTGCGCTACCTTGTGACAATGCACATGTGTGCCACGTTCGAACCCTTACCGTGGCCACGTGACGAGCGAGTATCATGGAGTCGCCTTCTGATTGCATCATTGCTTTGCCATGTCTTGAAAAGAGTAGGATCGGCACTATTGTTCGGCGCCCCTGCGTCACCGTCCTCATCGTCGTCGCTCGCATCGCCGTCGTCAGCGCCATCGTCTCAGCTGCCCTCATCGTCGACGATGACGGCAGCGGGTGAGTGAGTGGAAGAGGTGGATGGGGAAGGAAGACCGACAGGGGGCGAGAAGGACGGAAGGAGGGTGGCGGAGGATGTTTTAATCAGGGCGGTGTTCAAGGGGCACGGTGGAACAACATCGTCGTGAGGGGGATGAAGTAGAGGATTTTAGAAGTTGTTTCTGTCGTCGGCGATGGCGTCCGCGTCGTCCTGTTGTCGTCTTCTGAACGAACGTCGTCGTCGTCGCCGCCGTGTCGTCGTTGTCGTTGTCTATGTGACTGTCGTCGTCGTCGTCGTCTGCTACCGGCCCGCCTGGCACTCCGGTTAGGATTTGCCCGCTCGTTCGCTTGACAGTCCGCCCGCCCGGCTTCCTGTCCCGCACAGCAGGGCCCGCCCGCCCCGACCGCCAGGGTCCGCCCAACCCGCCTGCCAATCCCGTCCGTCAACACTTGCCCGACCCGCCCGCCCGTCAGGGTCCGCCCGACCCGCCCGCGCGGCCCGCCCGCTAGAGTCCGCCCGCTGGTTGGATTGGCACCCTCGCCCACTTGATTGTCCCGCCCGCTTGGCCCACTCTCTAGGGTACGCCCGCTCGACCTGCCCGTCAGCGCAAGTCCGTCTGCCCGATGGGAGATGATTGTCAATGAGGTTCACTTTCTAGCGCCAAGCAGGTAAGGAGCAGATTGCACATTGCAAGGTCTGGGTTTCGGAATGTTGTACTTCTGGTTTAGATTAGTGCCACTACGGTGATGGTCCGTCTCAGGCGCATGGGCGGGGGCAACGAAGAGGAGGGAAGAGGAGGAAATCGTTGTGGTGATAGCAGTGTGTGTCGTCGTCCGAGATGAGGACGAAGGAGTGATGGGATAGCCAGCCTGCCACAAACAGAGGACGGTGCGGAAGAGGGAGGCCTTCGGGTTGGGGGGGTCCACAGGGGGCGAGGGGTATCGAAGACGCCTACGGCGAATCACCGCCGCCCCCTGCCTTTTTGGAAGCGCCTAGGTGGCCGAACGTTGAGGCCAGACCTGCCAAGCCATCGGACCATGTGTTCCCCGAATCGGTTTGGAAAGCCTTTGGGGAACACGTGGGCATCTTGAAGGTCATCTTGGCCGTCTGGAGGCCATTTTGACCCTTTCGGGCCTTCTTGGAGGACGTCTTGGAGGGCTCTTGGACCGTCTTGGAGGCCATCTTGAGCGTCTTGGAGACCTCTTGGGCCGTCTTGGGAGCCTCTTGAGGCCGTGTCTTGGGCCTCTTGGGCGATCTTTGGGGGCACTTGGGCCGTCTCGGGCCGTCGGAAGGCAGAACAAAAAGCAAATGCCACAATCCTTCAAAAACCCATGGGAAATCAATGATTGTGGCCTTTTCGGGCCTTCCTGTGGGCCCTCTTGGAGGCCTCTTGGGCCGTCTTGGGCCATCTTAGGGCCATGTTCGGCCGTCTTGGTGGGCTCCTGGTCCGTCTGACGCCGTCGGAGGCAGTTTGGGGGGCCTCTCTGGGCCGACTTGGGGCCCTCTTGGACTGCTCCAGGGCCGTCTTAGAGGCCATCTTGGGCGTCTTAAAGGCCTCCTGTGCCGTCTTGGGGGCCTCTTGGGGCCGTCTTGGGGCCTTCTTGGGCCGTTCTGGGGCCATCTTGGAGGCCTCTTGGGCGATCTTTCGGCGATATTTGGGGGCTCTTGGGCCGTCTCGGGCCGTCGGAAATTTCAAAATCCTTCGAAAACCTTAGGAAAATCAAGGTTGTTGGCCTTTTCTGGCCTTCCTGGAGGCCCTCTTGGGGGCCTCTTGGGCCAGCTTCGAGCCAACTTCGGCCATCTTGGTGGGTTCCTGGCACGTCTGACGCCGTCGGGAGCCGTTTGGGAGGCCTTTCTGGGCCGACTGGGGGCCCTCTTGGGGCGCTTCGGGGCCGTCTTGGAGGCCATCTTGGGCGTCTTGGAGGCCATCTTGGGCGTGTTGGAGGTCTCTTGGGCCCTCTTGGGGCCGTCTTGGAGGCCATTTGGGCCGTCATGGGGCCCTCTTGGGGGCCTCTTGGGCGATCTTGGGTGCTTCTTGGGCCGTCTTGAGCAGTCGGAATGCCGAGAAGAAGCAAATTCCAAAATCCTTCAAAAACCTTAAGAAAATTAATGATTTCGGCCTCTTCGGGTCCTCCTGGAGGACCTCTTGGGGGCCTCTTGGGCCGTCTGGGAGGCCTCTGGGGAGTCTCTTGGGCCGTCTTGGACTCTCTTGGGCAGCCTTGGAGGCCGTCTTGGACCATCCTGGGCGGACTTGGAGGCCATCTTGGGCCATCTTCGCGATTTGTTGAGGATGTCCCGAGCGAAACGGCCGTTTCAGGGAGGATTTGTTGTGGACTTTGCGGTCCTGGAAGAGCCTCCCGGGACCCCGGCGGGAGGGGCCGAAGCCCCAGGAGGAGTTCTTTTAGAAAAAGAACCAAAACCAAAACAGAAAGGATCCAGCACGCCAGGCACCCCTGCGATGAATCGACAGGGGGCGGCGGATCGAAGACGCCTACGGCGAATCACCGCCGCACCCTGCCTTTGTGGAAGCGCCTATGTGGCCGAACGTTGAGGCCAGACCTGCCAAGCCATCGGACCATGTGTTCCCCGAATCGGTTTGGCAAGCCTTCGGGGAAAACGTGGGCATCTTGAAGGTCATCTTGGCCCTCTTGGAGGCCTCTTGGGCGATCTTTCGGCGATCTTTGGGGGCTCTTGGGCCGTCTCGGGCCGTCGGAAGGCCGAAAAGAAGGAAATGCCAAAATCCGTCAAAAACCGCAGGAAAATCTAAGTTTTCGGCCTCTTCCAGCCCTCCTGGAGGCCCTCTTGGGGGCCTCTTGGGTCCTTTTGGGCCAGCTTCGAGCCAACTTCGGTCATCTTGGTGGGTTCCTGGCACGTCTGACGCCGTCGGGAGCCGTCTTGGGGGCCTTTCTGAGCCAACGGGGGACCCTCTTGGGGCGCTTCGGGGCCGTCTTGGAGGCCATCTTGGGCGTCTTGGAGGCCATCTTGGGCGTCTTGGAGGCCTCTTGGGCCGTCTTGGGGCCCTCTTGGGGCCATCTTGGAGGCCACTTGGGCCGTCATGGGGCCCTCTTGGGGGGGGCCTCTTGGGCGATCTTGGGAGCCTCTTGGGCCGTCTTGGGCCGTCGGAATGCCGAGAAGAAGCAAATTCCAAAATCCTTCAAAAACGTTAGGAAAATCAATGATTTCGGCCTCTTCGGGCCCTCTTGGAGGACCTCTTGGAGGCCTCTTGGGCCGTCTGGGAGGCCTCTGGGGGGCCTCTTGGGCCGTCTTGGACTCTCTTGGGCCGTCTTGGAGGCCGTCTTGGGCCGTCTTGGAGGCATCTTAAAGCCATCTTAGCCGTCTTGGAGGCCATCCTGGCCGTCTTGGTGGCCATCTTGGAGCCGTCTTGGGCAGGAAATTGGGGAATTGAGGTCCTTGGCAATCCTCCCGGGACCCCGGCGGGACGCGCCGGAGCCCCAGGGGGTAATAGTCTGGCATGCCAGGCACCCCTGTGATGAATCAACAGGGGGCGACGGATTTAGTGGCTTTCGGCCCATCCCGCCATCGTGACTGGGTTGTGGGTCAGAGTCCTCATGTATGCTTTTTGGAGTTTCTTCTAAGGGTTCTTGGTGGCCTCAGAGGGGCAGTTTTGACGCATCTGGGGGGCCTCTTGGGGGCCTCTTGTGGGCCGCGTGGGGGCCCCTTAGGGGCCTCTTGAGGCTTCTTGAGGGCCTCTCGGGCCTCTTGGGGCGGAGAGCTCGAAATGTCTGTTCGTGTTCCCCCTGTGGGATCCCTCTTAGGGCGTTCTGAGGGCCCTTCTTGAGCCGCCTTGGAGGCCTATTGGGCCGTCTTGGGGAGCCTCTTGGGCAGTCTCGGCACCCTCTTGGAGGCCTCTTGGGGGCCTCTTAGGCCGTCTCGGGGCGATCTTGAGGGTCCCTCGGGCCATCTCAGAGCGTGGGGAACCCGAAAAGGCAGAAACTCCCAAACCCTTCAAACCCTTGGGAAAATCGATGATTCTTCTTCTGGCAGTGTTCTTGGAGGCCTCTTGGGCCGTCTTGGAGGCCGCCTGGGCCGCCTGGCCCGTGAGGCCGGTCTTGGGGTTCTCTTGGGACCCTTTTGTGCCGTCTTGGAGCCCTCTTAGGCTGTCTTGGGGTTCTTCTGGGCAGTCGACGGAGGAGACGGAAGGGTGGATGGGGGGGTGGGTTGGGGGCGGAGGGAGGGGCAGGGAGGGGGGGGGTGCACGCGGCACTCTGCTAGTAGAGGGGGGGAGTCCGTTTAGTTGGAGTACAGAAACACAGAGTAGCACTTGGCATTCGAGTACGCCTACATCGTGCAGGCACGGTGGCGGCTCCATCCGCAGAGACTGAAGAGACGTGCGTAGAGGCGGTGTTTGCGGTCAAGCTGAGTCCGAGCAAAAGTACAACGTCTCCAGCTCTGGGAGCGTGAGAAGCACGTCTGGCTCGACTAGTAGACTGATGTTGGGACTCCTCCTTATCGTTCCCTTTTATCCTTCTGTGCTCGTTGTGAATATTTCTCTCTCTCTCTCTCTCTTTCTCTGGTTTCCTCCCTCTTGTGTTTTCTCTCTATCTGCCTCTCTCTCTCTCTCTCTCTCTCCTTCTCTCGCTCCCTCCCTGTATATATTTCTCTCTCTCTCTATCTCTCTCTCTCTCTCTCTCTCTGTGCATATGTGTGTATGTATAACGTTTGTTGTATATCTCTCTCTGTCTCTGTATATCTCTCTCTCTCTCTCTCTCTTTCACACACCCAGGGACCCCGGAAAAAGCCCCCACCCACCCATTAATTTGGCACACCCTGGGCCTCTCGGGCAACCCTTCAGACGACCCAGGAGCTCTCCACGAGAGTCCGAAGACGGCCCCAGAGGGCTCCAGGCGTTCTGGCGCGCTCCCGAAACGACCCCAGAGAGCCTCAAGACGATGCACGACGACCCCAAAGAAGCCGACATACCCCGAAGATCGCTCCAAAACGTCCCAAGAGGCCTCCAAGAGCATTCTCAAGAAGGCCCCAGGAGGCAAAATTCACTCGTTTTCTGTCGGTTCTTGAAAATTTGTTGGGGTTCTCCTCTTTTCGGCACACCGACGCTCCAAGGCGGCGGTCTTCTGGGCGTCCGAAGCCGCCTGGGAGGCGCGAAAATCGACGCACAACCATCCGAAAGGGCTTCAAGGCAGCCCAAGAGAGCCCCAAGACGTCACAACAGGGTTCCAAGATGGCCTAAGAGAGCCCCATGACGCCCAAGTTGGCCCCACGACATCCTCCGAAGCATTCCAAATCGTGACCTGGTCGTTCAGGGAGACCGCGGTTGGAGGCAGGGTGGCCCGAGGAAGCCCCCAGAGGCCCCCAGAAGACTTTAAGAAAGCTTGAAAAATGTCCGTGAGGTCCCCAGAGGCTCTCCAAGGAGGAGCCTCCGCAAAAAGAGTTGAGGAGAATGGGGAGAATACGCAGGGTAGGGCGAGAATGAGGAAAAATAAGCGTGGAGGAAGGATAACGAAAAACATCATTATAACGGCGATGCTGGAAAAGGCCAAAAGGAGGTGTCACGAAATTGACAGTTCGACGTTCTTGCCATTCCGCCTGCATACCAAACTTCAAGGACCAAAACGCATGGCGCGAAGCGCCAATGCCGTCTTGTATATGTTCCGATTCCTATATTTCTATTACCTGGAATCCCACCCCACCCCACCCCCACCCCCCAACCTAAACTGGACCCCCCCCCCCAGGACGCCCCCTGGACGCCCTTTCGGACGTCTCGGCAGCCCCCGGGACGCCCTTGGAAAAGGTCTGTTGGCCTTTCCGGGCCTCCCAGGGCGCCTTGCCGGGCCTTGCGAGCAGACTCAAAGCGATCAGGGGGCAAGAGAGACGCAAGAGAGACGCAAGACAGCAGACGAGCGCTCCCAGAGGAATCTCGATGAACCGAAGACGGCCGACGAGGCCCCCAAGACGCCCCAAGAGGCCGTTAAGAGAGCCCCGAAAAAGCAAAAATCGCCCCAGTCCCTTAGGAAAGTGCAATGTTTTAGCATATCCGTTTTTGATGTATTCGCAGCAGACGGCCCAATGGGCCCCCGATATCGCCCCAAGACGGCCCGAGAGGCCCCTCACAGGGTTTGAAGACGGCCCAAGAGGCCCCCAATACTAACCCAGAGAGCCCCGAGACTGCCTACAAGAAGCCCAAGATGCCCCCAGAAGGCTCCCAAGAGCGACCCACGAAAGCCATGGGAGACCCCCAGATTGGCCATGGGAGGCCCCCAAGAGGCCACTAGATGGCTTCAGAAGACTTCTGGAGAGCCCCAGCTCTCCAAGACGGCCCAAGAAGGCCCAGGACGGCCCAAGAGGGCCCCAGGACGGCCCCAAAGAGCCCCAAAAACGCCCAGACGGCGTTCGCCGTGCGCTCGTTGCGCTCACGCCAGCCCGCCTGTCTTTCCCGTACCTCTATCACCCTTTCTCTCTCTCTCTCTCTCTCGCTCTCTCTCTCTCTCTCTCTCTCTTTCTCTCCCTTCCCCCCTCTGCCTTTTTCGTCGACCTCCACGTTCGTGGCATCCGATGACCATCCTCGTTCGCCCGTTCCTCCCTCTGGACCTTCTCCCCGTTTCTCCCCCCCTCCTCCCCCCCTTCCGCCTCTTCAGCACCCCCTCATCCCTGCTCCTTCCCCACTCTCCGTTCATGGACAGGTGCAGTCGCAACAGTTTGATGTTTCGTCGTTTGCCAGCACCTTCGCGAGTGAAAAATCACCATCCGTTCCCCAATCCTGCGCACGAGCGTGCAAGCGTATCGGGCGAACGCGGTGTCAGCAGGCAGCAGAGGTTTCAGAAAAATGAGCCGATCGCCCGTCCAGGGTTCGAGATCCCCCCGTTTGAAGCAAGCGATGATCTGTCGCTTTGCTGGGGAAGCGACCGGAACGAGGCGCATGGCGCGAAGCGCCACTGCAGTCTTGTACACATATCTGTATATATATACACACACTAGAGTGCATTGGCGCTGCGCGCCATACCGTGTTGCAGCGAGGCTCAATGATCTCGATGCTGAAGTTGTTTTGCGCCACATCTCGCTCTTGGGAGGCCTCGTGTCAGAGTGTCAACGTCATGTGGGCAGTATTGAAGCCTCCCGAGGCCTTACAGGGGCCGCTGCGGGACGTGGTGGAGTCCGGTGATGGCTTGGGCCCGCGTTGGGGCGCGCGTTGGCTCTGTTGGGCTGTCTTGGGGTCATGATCGGGTTCGTGGCCCGTTTTGGGCCTGTCTTGGGGACCTTTTTGGGGGTGTTTTCGAACTTCTGTGGACTCTCTGCGGGATCTTCTGGGAGTGTTGGACACCCTTTGGGCATCCTCGGGGCGTCTTCGAGCCTCTTCGGGGCCTCGTGGGAGCTTCCCGTGGCCTCCTAGGACCCTGGCGGGAGTGTCTGGGGGCCCTCCTGGGCCGGTTCGGGGCCCTCTTGGAAGTTTGTCGGGCCGTCTTAGGGCGATTTTTGGAGCCTCATGGGCCGTCTTGGAGCGGCGGGAAGCCGAGAAGAGGAGAGACACAAAAACCAACAGAAAGTCAATGAATTGTGCCTCATGGGGCTTTCTTGGGAGTGGAGGCCTCTTGGAACGTTTTGGAACACTCTTTGGGGGCATGACAATTCTTTTGGGGTCGTCGTGGACCGTCTTGGGGTTGTTTGGGGTCGTTTCGGGAGCGCCCGGAACGCCTGGAGCCCTTCGGGGCCGTCTTCGGGCTCTCGTCGGGTTCTCTTGGGTCGTTTGGATGGTTGTCCGAGAGGCCCGGGCTGGGCCAAATTCGTTATGTGCGTGGCGGGGTGGGGGGGGTCCAGGGTTCCCCGGCCTTATGAAAATATACGTAGTACACCGCAGCTTGCGGATAGGATAAGAGTGAGAGGACGGCAAGGACGTCGGCAGTTTGCCAAGTTCTGAAGAGGCTCGCCGCAAGCGCTCAACTTCTACACATTATGCAGTGAGCCCGCCGCAGGCGCCGATTTTTTCGTTATGGCAATGTGGGTGGGTCGCGGGTGGGTCGCGGGCCGTGTCGCGGGTGGGTCGCGGGTGGACTGCGGGTGGGTCGTGGGCGGGTCGCGGGTGGGTCGCGGGGTGGGTCGCGGGTGGGTCGCGAGCGGGTCGCGGGGTTGGTCGCGGATGGATCGCGGGGTGGGTCGCGGGGTGGGTCGCGGGAGGGTCGCGGGGTGGGTCGCGGGGTGGGTCGCGAGGTGGGTCGCGGGTGGGCGCGGGGTGGGTCGTGGTTGGGTCGCGGAGTGGGTAGCGGGTGGGTCGCGGGTGAGACGCGGGGTGTGTCGCGGATGGGTCGTGGATGGGTCGCGGGTGGGTCGGGAGGTGGGTCGCGGGTGCGTCGCGGGGTGGGTCACGGGCTGGACGACGCCAAACAGTACAACAACAATAACCATAACAAGAATAATAGTAACGATAACAACATCAACCACAATAAAATCCAAAACCAGCTTCAACAACAAAACAACACCAACAACAACAACAACCACAACAACAGCATAACAACAAAAACAACAGCAACAACAACAACAACGACAACAACCACAACCGCAGTGACAATTACGACAAACAAACAAACAAACATCAACCACCACAAAAATGTGATGAATAATCCGCATCGCATAATTCCATTTCAGCCATGCACCCAGGGACAGTGAATGACCGCTCGGCCCTTCCTTTCTGATGAATACGAATATGCTGAATAAGTTCATGTACATACACGCACACTACATTGAAATAGCTTAACATAAAAAATGAAGATATGGATGCATGTGAATATGTATATACGTTGATAAATAGATGCGAGTATATGTGTATGCGTGTGTGTCTACATGTATGCATGTGCATTTGTCGTTGCAGATGTCCTTATATCTCTCGTTGGACATGTAAGTCACGAAGGGTACTTCGATTTATACATCAATATCTAACACAAACGTACGCGTACACGTATGCACACATTCCCGTATACATGTATGCACAGAAAGATAGATACGAAAGAACAACAACAACAACGACAACAACAACAACAACAACAACAATTACTAGCACGTGGGGACACTCCGTTCTCACCAGTGCCAGGATTTTCATAGGAGGCGGGCAATACCCCCACTTTGTGGGGGGGCCGGTTCAAGCTCTACCAAATTTCCAAACGACTCTTCGCCACCACCCACACCCAGCTTCCCGCCCTATGACGTTCGGACACTTCACTTCGTGGCATGCGGACGACCGTGGCTACTATTCAGGGCCCCGCGGCCGACGACGACGGCGTGCGCGCGCGAAGAAAAAACGAATGTGTCCCGCATGGTATTATTTGACAGGGATGATGGCCCTGGCAGGTGCGCAACCGTTGTTGCAGAAGTTCGAAAAAGTTGCTCGCAAAAGCCCGTTTGACAGAAATGTTTAAAAAGTGTTGGGTTTCCTACGAATCCGCAAGAGCGCGCGGGATGAGATTTTGACAATTTGTT